AAGCTCTGTTGTTCATACCCCACCGCATAACAGTTAAATCTCAGTTCTGGGACTTGCTTTCACTTCTCTGCTCTGCATTGTAAGCTTAATTTTCTGACCCATAATTTCTGTCGTTTCTTAAAAAAAGACTTATGTATACAGAAATGGAGTACAGGTAAGAGGTGCAGGGGTGGTGAGGAGGCTTCACCAGAGACAGAGTGGGGAGGAGAACAGGTTGACTGACCTGAGGGGAGCAGTGGGTGGGTCAGGAGAGGTCTGCCGCGCCATGTGGATCACCTCCGGGCGGGATGGAACTGATGCTGAAGTGGCGGTTAGCTTCTTAATGCTGTGCTTTAACTCGCTGAGCCACCAGGGAGGGCCCCAAATTTAGTACTTTTTTTTTTTTAAAGATTTATTTATTTGTGCATACAGAACTGAGGTACAGGCCAGAGGCTCAGGGGCAGCGAGAGGCAGCACCAGAGACAGAGTGGGGAGCAGAACAGGCAGATTGATGAAGTACACTGCTGAGGGGAGCAGCGGGCGGGTCAGGAGAGGTCTGCTGCACCATGTGGTCACCTCTGGGGCAGGTGGGAATCGAACTCATGGGAAGCGGCTTTAGCTTCTTAGTGCTGTGTTTTAACCCGCTGTGCCACCAGGGAGGGCCTGAATTTAGTACTTTTATAAAATTCATTTAATATCAAAAAGTCAGTGTGAATGTGTGAGATGTTTGGCTGTCTGCTGAGGGTGTCCCTGGACCATGTTCTAACAAGAGAGGGACGGGTTACAGACCTTTATATAAATCATTTTAAGATGTACTAGAAAATGCTAAGTAATTGGAAGGGATGAAGCACTGTGGGAATTCAAGGAAAGAAAACAACAACAACAAAACTTCAAACTGTAGGTATCAGAAACAAAGTGGAAAGAGAAACAAGTTTTCCAAGTGAAGATGGTAGAAGTTCATTTCTGGCAGAGAACAGCATGAGGCAGGAATCAGAAGGCCTTGGAAAAACTATGCACTAGAGAACGTTGCGCATGAAACTGATAGGTGGGGAGAGGTACTGGAGACTGGTTCAGAGGCGATATGTGAAGTATTGGACAGTGAAAACACATCTCTAGTTATCTCCACATAACTGAAAACTGCCTGCATAAGTTACATTCCATTACAGTCATGCAAACCTGGGGAACAGCCTTCCTCAAAGGACAGAAAGCCCTTTTGAAAATAGTCCCCATGGACGTCACAGAACTCCGCCCCCAAGAGCGCAGCATGAACCTCTGTGGCTTAGAAGAGTCCACTTTCAGGCCTGTCAGTTCATGTCTCATCCTGGAGACCTGGCTCTTCCCTTTGCCAACAGCACCGCCCCTGCGCGCGAGCGTGTGTGCGTGTGCGTGTGTGCGTGTGCGTGTATGACCGAAACCCAACTGAGCAAACGACATTGCCAAAAACAACACATCTACTTCAAACCAACATGCCCAGCTGCTGATTTCACATTTACCAGTGATGTTGGTGCTGTGAACAGAAAAGTATAAAGTTTTCACGCCTTTAAACATTTAGATACAAGGGAAGATCTTAGCTTTTGTGGTTTTGATTTTTTACATCAAGAGATTAATTGTGGTTACCTCTGGAGAAGCAGTTTTTGGGTATGGATTTTGTTTCCTAATACAAAAATTCTTTTGTTTAAAAAAATCACAAAGAATTAAAAAAAAATTCAGAAAAGTTCAGGTTCTTCTTGTTATTTCTTCATCCAAAGATTCATAAAAATTCAGCTTTTGTCAGAACATGTTCCAAGTCCTCATTAGGCCTGTATCGCAAGTCAGATCATAAGGACAAGGACATCGGATGAAGAAAGGACAGAGACATGGGTTTTCTCCCAGGGCTCTGCTGTTTGCTACCACATCATACAATTTTTAATTTTTGCAAAAATGAACAGAAAACAAGTGTTTCCAGTGATCAGGTCTGCCCCAAGACTTTTTTGCACCTGTGCTGATTTTACCTGAACTTCTGTCCAGGTTTTTCACCTGACAGTACACTCAGGGCTGCCTTACAGTAAGGTCTTTGAGACCCCATGACCTAAAGTTGCCTCCCCTGTGTCCAAGTTTTTCTTTCCCCTCTTACTCTGTTTTTACTAAGAATTTTATTTACTTACTGAACAAAATCATTTTATGTCTCCAGCTCATACATTAAAAAAAAAAAAATTGACCAAGTCAAGAACTTTAAAGTATTTTGAGAAAAACCTGGCCAAGACTGAGATGAAGCTAGTTAAAGCTTGAGATTCCCTGTGAACTGAAGAAAACATTGCTATGTGGTTATGGGGTACAGTCCAGAGCCAATTGGGATGGGGGGGGCCTACAGAATATAGGATACATATCTGTTGTGCCTCCTCCCAAACCCAGAAAATCCTCAGTCCTGAAGTCTTTCTTTCCCATGATTTTGCAAGGGGCTGCTAGACTGCAATTAGTATAACCCAGGATGACTTAGTAATTTATCGTACCATTGTACACATTGGTATTTTCAAATATCAATCATTCAAAAAAGACTGACTGAAAATGAGTTGAGAATAAAGCAAATAGAAAAAATATAAAACATGCATAGTGTAAAACAGCCTGTGATTTGCAATGCTACATTTCATCTAGCAAACATATTGATGAAGTTTTTTTCTCTAAAGGAATCTATTATCACTTCCTATTGAGAATATAGAACTTCATCTATGAAACATTCTCATAACAGATTGATTAAATATTTCCAAACTCAGGTTCTACTTGGCGGAGTATAGTCATGATGAAGTTCATAACTTAGGGCCCTCGTGGCACTGACACACAAACTCCATTATTGGGCCTGTATTACCTTCTTACCTTTATTATCATTATTATTATTTGCCTCCATCTTTTCAAGTACTTATAGTGCATTTTATTTTGCCAATGAGTCTACTCTTTCCCCATAATACCACCTTAAAATATTTTGGATCTTGGTGGACAGAAATGATAAAATAAAGAGGTAAAAAATATATGATCTATTTCTCCTATCTACAAAGCTTTAGTTTCATATCATATCATGCTGTAGTTCTTTCTTTGTCACCTTTCAGAAGTGACAGTGTTAAATGTAATTACATGACTATGGGGTTGATTCTATGCTTGTCTCCCTTCATCCTCCATCATTCTGAGCAAGAAGGAAAAAGAGAATAAATACCAGGGTGGCCCAAAGTCCATCTCTCATGATTTCCCAATCTGTTCACCACTACTTGCAGGAGAATATCCTATGACTGAATTAACTTCAGAAATGAATTCTGCATTTCCCATTTTTCCTCATAGAATAAATGACTGGAAACATTTAAGAAGAGCAGGTAAAGGTGGACAGGCAAAGAGCACACCAATGTTAAAGAACTAGAATGGCAAGTTAAAAATAAATCTTTAAAAAAAAGAGTATTTATTTGTGCACACAAGAGCTGGAGTATAGGCAGAAGGAGCAGGGGAGCAGATTCACCAGAGACAGAGTGGGGAGCAGAACAGGCAGATCTACTGAAATACACTGCTGAGGGGAGCAGCGGGCAGGACAGGAGAGGCCTGCTCTGCCATGTGGCTCAACTCCCTGCCTGGGGATGGAACTCATGCCAAAGTGGCTGGCAATAGCTTTATAGTGCTGAGACTTTAACCCCTGCACCTCTAGGGAGGCCCCAAGATTAATTAAACTCTTCAGATTACCTCTGAACTAATTTAAAGTCATAGACAAGGTTTTAACTGGCTCTTCAGAATAATTTGGTAATTTATACTTTTTCAAAAATGGAGCTAATTCAAAATAAGGAAGACAAAGGCAAGGAAAAGGTACACATAACAATTATTTTTCTTAAAGCTAAATTTTTGGAAGCAATCTCATCTCATAGTCACATGGAAAGAAGTTCTTCCTCTTCCAAAGCCGTGGCTCTGTCCACCACTGCCAGCGCTTGTGAGGAGACAGCACATGAACTGCCTCAGGCATCCAGTTCCCCAAATGGTAACCTTAAGCAAATATGTTGAGGTATGCAGGGGGACTTAGGGGGTGATGTGAAGGGGAATGGGGAGGCTGCTTGCGTCAACCATTTTTTACTCTACAGTCTCAGTAGAATGAGTACTGCGGTAGTCTATTTTAAGGGAGCCTTATTTCAGAAATATTTCAAACTGTCCCAACCTGTTGCCATTGACTTTGGAAATGGCTTTAGAAATTTCCAAGTTGCCTGTGACTTGTTAACCATGGGCATCAGGCGTTGTCTCCCTTATACCATGTAGAACACTGGGACTTAATTTTCTTCCAACTATACAGGGATACCTGCCTGTTTTCCAAAGTGTTTATTTACTGCTGTTACTATTTGATTAGAATGTATTTTTTAATAATAATAATAATAATAATAATAATAACTAAACCCTGAAAAAAAAAAAGAAAGAAAGAAAGCCTTATTCTTCTCATATGCCTGAGAAGCAATTGAGACTGGCTGGACCTGGACTGGTTGATCTGTCTGCAGCTGTATGATGGGCATGTGGGAAGGGGATTCCTAAAGGGCTGTTTTTTCCCTTCCTTTGGGGGCCTTGCTAACCTGACATAAGCAGCTCCAGGGATTTGTGTATTGTATGTTGAGAATCAAAGAAGTTGGTGAGAAAGAAAGGAAATGAGGACTTTTAGAGCCACAGTTAAGTCTATCTTGTTTGGGTGAGGATGGTCTCAGTAACACTATGTCACAGATAAGAAGTATTAACGGTTATTTCTATGTTGCCATCACAGAGGGAAAGTCTTCCTATGAAATTCACTGTCCACATACCAGAGACTAATTCTTTAGGAGACAGAATTTGTCACAATGAAATATTTGTTAGAGATCTTTAGAGAGCCTGACCTCAGAGGTCTGATACGAAAGTTAAAATGAGTCAGCACTCCAAGTGCTGGCTGTGAACAAGGGTTAAGCAAGCACTGGCAAGGAAACCGTATCCACCCAGTCTGGGCTGCCCACCTGTCACCTGTAATCAATGACACAAACGCATATGACATCGAGGGGACTCACCTGCAAACAAATGGCCAGGTTCACTCTACAGCCAAAGGAGGTGCTGACAGCCCGAGGATGTAGGCCCAGGTCTTTAAACAGCTTCGAGAAGGACTGAGTGAGTGCTATTCGAGGCCGCTCTTCTGCAACAACCACACACGTCCGCACACGGGACAGGTCCAACCCTCGTGCCTGAAAATGACATCAGCGGTAAGAAGTGAGTCTACCTGTGGAAGGGTATGACCGCCTGAGTCAGACCCACACAAACAGCAGAAACTCTACACATGGTCATTTCCTAGGCACTCTGTGTCCAAATCAGTAATGAAACTGGTCTAGGATATCTACATAAAGAAGTCACACTGATCATCAACCATGCCACTACACATACATTTAAGTAATAGGGAGAAGCAATCACAAGACCCATAACAAGGAGAAAGGCTGAGGAAACACAAGGCCCTGGCTAAAACAGCCAAAGGACAGAGTTTTAAGGAAGTAAACATTTGTACACAAGTATGGATACACAAGAGCACACATTGGAGAAATATGAGAAAACCCATTGGAGAAATATGAGAAAACCCGTTTTTTAACAAAGGAATGGGAAATTAAAGTTCTGGACAAAATCTTAACGGCAACTCTACTTTCATGTTCCTTCAGACAGTGTGGCCATGGACAAAATCTCAAAGTCAAGTGCATCTCAGCCTCCAGGGAGTGCTCAAGACTGAGCATGGATAGATTCTGCACCAAAGTGTCCATAGAGCAGTCAAAATCCTCAGAAGGAGGAACTCAGATGAATTAAGCTCAGGTCTCTGTAGGAAGGGCTGCGCCTCTCTGGCCACACTGCAGGAAAGCAGAGTGAGTGGTAGCAGCAGCCTTTATAGTGGGGTGAGGAAGAGAGATGGTGTCGTGGCAGAGATAAGAAGGCAACCAGGACACTGGCCACTTGCACGCTGCAAGCTGGTGTTGGCACATGGGCGACTGACAGCTCCTGAGCTAAGGAGGGAAACAAGATTCGAGGTAACTGTGACTCTGAAATTTATGGCATAGATGTGGTTTTGCAGAGATAGAACTATACTGGAAAAACTAATCTGGGTGATATACATGTGATCTATTTATGTGTGTTGAATGCACCACAGCACAGAATCTGAGATGGTTAACCTGGAGCCAGGAAGTCAAAATTTGGCTCAAAAGATTGCTAACAATAAGAACTCGGAAAGGATACTTAATTTCACTGTAATTTAAGTTTCACTGAACTTAATGATTTCCATTACAGAGAGCTGTTATAAAAGTAAGATGAATTAATAAGTAAAGTGCTTAGCAATCACTTTATTATTTCACTTTGGTTATTTATACAAGCACCTACAAGGAAGATTAATGAAGATATGCTCTATCATTTTATAACAATATAGATAAATATGAATAATATTACATATTATAAATTTCTTTTCTATGTGAACACATAACTCCAGACAACAACACATTTATGTGGCTTAACAAATCAAAGTTATCTCACATATTTGTATTTCTATTCAAATAATGCATTAAAACTGAGTAAGGAAACAAAACTCAGGAGATATGAACGCATTGACTTAGTATTTGTCTATAGACAGATAATCCGCCTGCACATATAGACCCGCATACACAAATTAATCTGTATACATATGTGGACACATACACATCTGGATGTATAAACAGTAGTTGGAATATATTATCAAAACAGATGATATGATTATTACCTCCTAGTTACTTAGGTTAAGGACTACTTACCATGAAAATGCATGTTCAAAATGTTCTTGGTTTAAATGGAGGGAAGTGCTACCTATTCTCACATAATGCCAAATATATCTATATACTTATAAACACACACACATAAAATACACATAGATACATGCTACTTTTCAGCTAGTTATAAAGATGAATTTTGGTTAGGATTCAGCCATACAAATCAAGATATTCAAGGAGAACAAACCTGAATTCATACTTAAATACCAGAATCAGAATAAAACTGACATCACTGAAAAAGTTAAGAGCCGCATTCACACAAATAAAAAAGCAAGTTAGACCCCTTTAAAATAATCCAATGGAAGTAAAGACGTCATGAAACTAAACGACACAGACTCTGACCTATACCTGTTACAAAATGAGTTTTTCACATGAAAACAATTTTTGTCCACTTCCCACAGAGAGGATTACTCCGAGGCTTTTGCGAAGGCTCCTTCTGACTTCACATACTCCCCCACACCCTAGGACATGCGCTTTCCCAAACACTGGGAAGAGCCCCAGACTTTGAGGCGGGAGCTGGCGGGACCACTTACCTTGAGGGATTCCGTCTGCGAGCCCAGTCCCTTGGTACAAAGTTCCATCACCGAATAGGAGCAAAACGTATCCCGGACTTTGTACTGACTCACAGCAAGAAGCCACAAGGCGGGGTTGGTTTCCAACTCCGAAGGCGGGATGAGAATGGACTGGTGCCCAGAGTACACGCTGCAGGGAGAGGAAGGGAGGGAGGGAGGTTTCAGGGAGTGTGGGTGGCGAGGCAAGACCAGCCTGGGTCACTAAGGATGTGTGGTCCACTGGGAGAAGGGGCGTCACTCGACTCCATGACTCCACGGTGAGGCACTTGGTAATACAGAGGGAAGTGTGCTTATGAAAACATTCTGAGAAGCACAAAGGTCAAAAGGAATTATGATCCGGACTTACCATCATTTTGGGCTTTTATTCGAAATCTCTAAAACCTGTTCTTCTAACAAACTGGACTCTTTAACAGTAGGAAACAGGGGGTAAAAATAATTGGAATTTTAGAACAGGACTTAGCAAACTGATGTGCTGCCTCTCTTCCAAAGAGAACAGCCGCTTGTTCAGCTTGACTAGCTTTCATGTGGGCAGGCAGAGCTGAATAGTTATCGCAGGGACCAGGGAGTCTATAATGCTTAACAAATGACCACTTGAGAAAAAGTGGGCTTAACCCTGGTTTAGAAAACTGACATCAGAGTGTGTTGCGTTGGGCAACACCACACTGATAAAGTAACAGGACACACTGATAAAGTAATAAGAGTTGAGCAGCAGGCTACATAATGCAGGATGCTACTCAAGAGCAAGATCCTGGCCTTTTTATTGATAAACTAGCCATACAGCATTGGTCAAATGGGGAAGCAGAAAAGGAGAAGGGGAAGTAGAAAGCAGGGGAAGGGTGGAACTGTACTTCTCATCTGCTGATAGGTCGGTATCAAAGATCAAGCCCTGACTCCCTAGTCAGGATTTCAATCTTGTTATCAACAAGGCAGTCCACTTATCAGCTTCTGGGGTCCTTCGTTATACATCAGTCAAAGGTCTCCAGGGCATTCCTGGTCATACCTTGTGATATATAAGTTAGGGGTAAGTTTATGCATCTGTCATTAGCTCCCAGGGCATTCCGGGTCAAACCTCTTGATGGACACCCTTCCCAGGGTGATCCAACTTTATGTTCTTAATTGTTATGAAAGGCACCTTGTAGGTGTCTCCTATGGCCAGGCAGTTCTGATCTTGCTTTAGGAATACAGAACTGTAGGTAACAAAATGGAGGCGGGATAGGCCAGTGGGGTTAGCACTGAATGAAAGAAAATTAAGACAATAGAGAAAGCTGTCAATTATTTAAGTTTGGAATCTTCGAAAGGATCTAAACAAAACACCAAACAGAAGAACCAAGGAAAATGTATTCATTCTTCATTTTCATTTTATATGAAGAAAAATGAGGAAAATCATTGGTTATAAGTTTTAATTCATTAACTGATGGAACAAACATAACTTTGTAATAATGAAGTCCTTGCCAGATTACATTTTTAATGATCTTAATATTTTTGGTTTATGACTATATCAAAAACAATTGCTATCATGCATGATAATAAGCTATCCTAGATAAATTACCTTTTAAGGTTTAAGTAAAGGGATTTCCTCGTATTAAAAAAATCTCATTGGCCCTCCCTGGTGGCGCAGCGGGTTAAAGCACAGCACTGAGAAGCTAAAGCCACTTCCCATGAATTCGATCCCTGCCTGCCCCGGAGGTGACCACATGGTGCGGCAGACCTCTCTTGACTCCCCCGCTGCTCCCCTCAGCAGTGTACTGTGTCTATCTGCCTGTTCTGCTCCCTGCTCTGTCTCTGATGAATCCTCTCATCCTCCGCATCTCTGGCCTGTACCCCAGTTCTGTATAAAATGAATAAATCTTTAAAAAATATATATATAGGGAAGTTAGAAGGAAAAGTATATTCTCCAGGGAATATAACAAAAGGCATGTTAGAAGCTTTTATTTCTTTCTCTATTTCAAAGTTTCATTTAGTTTTGTTAAAGAGAGGGGACACTGACCTATCCTGATCTTGTGAGAGGGTTTAATCATTGGAGAAGTAGGGGGTTAGGTATTTAAGGTATTATTCTGCTGTATGAATGACTTCCTTTGTCTAAGTATACATAAGATTTACCATTTAACCATTTAGTGACATTACTTACATCTGCTCTTGTGTAACCATCACCACTATCTAATTTCAAAATTGTCCATCATCCTAAACAAAAACCAAGAAAACCAAGTAAACACCAGTCTTGCCTCTTAGCCCTGGTAGTGTCCTCTCTACTTTCTGTCTCCGAATTTGTCTGCTCCAGATATTTCATATAAGTGGAATCATATAATACTTGTCATCTTATTAGGGTTTATTTTATAAAGGTTCACATATTGTTGCACAAGTCAGAATTTCCTCCCATTTTAGGGCTAATCATATACCATTGTAGTCCACTGCAAATGGGCGTTTCCACATTTTGGCTATTGTGAATAATGTTACTGTGAACACTGGTGTAGAAATATCTGCCTGAGTCCCTGTTTTCCATTTTTTTGGGTAGATACCCAAAATTGGAATTGTTAGATCATATGGTAATTGTATGTTTAATTTTTTGAGGCACTGCCATATTGTTTTGCAGCTGCAGTGTTTTTCATTCCCATCAGCAATGCAAGAGGGTTCTAATTTCTCCATATTCTCTCCAATATTTATTTTCCAATTTTTAAAATTATAGCCATTCTAATGGGTGTGAAGTGCCATCCATTGTGCTTTTGATTTGCATTTCCTTGATGACTAATGTTGAGTATCTTTTCATGTGCTAATTGATCATTTGTATGTTTTCTCTGGAGAAATGTCTAATTGAGTCCTCTGCCCAATTTTTAAACACTTTTTAAAACTTAAGTTGAGATAACACTGGTTTAAAACACTATGTGGCTTAGAGTCACAGAGTCACACCTTCCCAGATGCATGTCACCATGCCTCCACCGAGGCACTCACAGTCTTCCTCCATAGTCCATTGTCCTACGATTGTCCCTGAATTACTGATAGAGGAAGGTTAACATATTTCTGTCCACTGAAAACTAAATTTCAGAAAGCATGAAAGTCACTCATCAGAGCTATACACAAACACAGACACACAAAATGTTATGACATTATAATGCTGCACTGGTTTTTCTTTTTTAGTTTTTCAATTTCCTGTAAGCCATAAATGTTAATTATTGAGGTCCTTGGAACAAGTATCAGAGTAAAATACTACCACTTTACTTCAGTAGTTCTATTCCAATCAATATTTATGCATAGGCTATGTTAAACATATTCAAACATCTCAATGCACACTCAGGTGCCACTCTTACATAAAAATGTAATAATATCCCATTAAAACTAACTTTTCTTTTTAAATGAGAGTACTTCCTCAGGAAAGAATAAGTACTATTTTGAAAATTTTGAGAAAACGACCAAGCCATGAGCTCACCTTCCCTCTACTGCTCCCTGATCTACTGAGCAAGTGAAAAATCACAAGAAAGAACTTTCTACAAGTTTCATAAATGAAGTTTATCATGTACAAATAATTGAAATCTCTTTAGATACATCAAGAATAATCAGTATCTAAATACACTTAAAGAATCTGGTTTGTTTCAGAAAAAGCAGGGGCTGGGCATGCTCCCGGTGGTGGACTCAGGTCCGGTCGCCTGGACCCCCCGCCTTCAATCTGTGCCCTCTCCCAGAAGGCATGTTCAGAGAGCACTGGATTCTGCCTAACCCTCTCACAGGTGGACCCTCCCCCCGCCAATAAAACTCTCCTCCTGTCAACTCCAGCAGTTTTAGACAGTTTTCTCATTTTTAAAATGAAACATATTGATTTACAGGTATCACATACTTTGGTGATTAGGTCCTCCCAACAGTATCACAATATATGAAAACACAAGACAATCAATGTGTATGGATAAAATTTAAGTGCTACTCTAGGAAGGATATCTGATAATTAAGTGAGACTTAATTTTACAAGTGGTCAGCTTATTTATGACAAGTCCTGGATTTTAATTAAACTATCCCATCTATATAAGGAAGAGTAATTAGCAAGGCCCCCTTACTTAAAGAATTAAATAAAATTACAATTTGTTTGAAAGTTTTCTTTCTTCTTTTGACCATTTATTCCTCCTATGAGGGAAACCATCTGATATTTTCCCTTTTCCTTCTGACTTATTTCTGTGCATAATCCCTTCTAGATCTATTGATGTTGCTGATAATGGCATGAGTTTATTTTTTATGGCTGAATAGTATTCCACTGTGCATATACACACCATGTTTTCTTGATTCATTCATCTGGTTAATTCCTATAACATTTTATATAACAAGCTATGTTGATAAACATAACACAGAAGGTATTTTCCCTTTTTTCATATATCTTAACTTATACTTAATGTCTACTTGTTTATAAAGTTATTCTCTATTTGTAATTATCAATACCTTTGTAGTTAAATGCTTCTACAATCTAGACAGGATAAACTTGCTTGTGTGATAAGTAATTGGTAAATGTGTATCATTTTCTGTGAATGTGATTGGTGGATTTCCCCTTGCACTACTTGCCTGTTCTTATTTTAACTTTGAGCCACTGGACTCTCATTGTACGATAACTGAATGGTAGTAAATGGATTCATGTTTCTTAAAGAAAAAAAGAAATGAAATTCAAAACAGAGTAAGAACCAGTTTCAAGTTGTTTCAATGGACTTTAGAAAACTCTGGAATGGCACTAACTGGTCTCTGACCAGGAGAAAGGACTATTATGCCCCAAACTTTCATGTGTTCTTTGGAATCTTGCTGTCATGTAAGTGTTTTAAGTATACAATTACACAACCCTGCACATTCCTATGAAGCCCTGTGGAAAGGCACAGTAAGTTATTTTTACAGTAACATACCAAATCAGTAATTTTTACATTTGAAATCCTGTTCATTTTTCTCCAAGATTTATTCTTGGGAAAATCGATTTAGGTCACTTAAATATCACTTTATACTAAAATAATTTAATAGAGATCAAATGACATTACAATGGGCATATCCACATGTCAAAACCCTAATACCCTGTACAACACTATTTAATAAGTAACATTCTTTCTATATAGCATAAGTAACATTCTATATAACAGTATTTCTATGCATATTTAGTCTAGCCATGCAATTTATGAAAACAAACTTCTATCCAGAAGTTCTCATGTCCAGACCTGATGTTCTTTAAAATCAGAGCTTCTATCTAGTTTAGAAAACCAGCACCAGGTAAGTTTCCCAGTATGTTTTGCTTGTTTTTTCACTTTTAAGGTATCCCATGTCATTGCCAAATAGCCTTTAAAAAAATCACACATTTAGTGCCTGAAAACCAAATCACTTCACAGCACAAACCCGGGACCATGTCATCATATGCACAGAGGTGCTGGAGATCATTCTGGAGACTCAAGCCTGAACCATGGCCATCAGAGCCAAGACAGACAACACAACTCTGACCTCTTTCTTGAAGATGTTCTCAGTGGCAGGCAGCCTCCGAGAAAGAGGACAGCTGCACAGGCATTTGCATTCAGACAACACTGTTTTACATGGCACGTACAGCCCTTCAGCCTGACTTTGCCACTTAGAACAACAGGATTCTAAAATCAGCCTACACCCCACATCTGGTGTGAGTTTGATTCAGATCCCGAGGAGCTAACTGTCAACCACAATTAGAAGCCTCAGGCAGCAGTAAGCAGGAAAATATAAAATAATAGGAAATTTACTTCACAGAATGAAAAACAGAACAGTGTCGGTGCCAAAAATGGGCTAATGTACCAGGTAACAGCCTGCAGATTATGTACATTATAAATTATAATTATCCACTGAAAACCTGTGTGCCACCTCTCTGAGAAGTAACTGGGCATGGTTTTCTATTTGACTCTAAATGTTATCAACCCACTTATGAATCAGGGTTAATAATACCACCTTAGTTAGATTTCCCTGTGTGAATTTTCTTACAGCTCAAATTTAAACAGCTAATCTTTCAGGCCAAGAATGTTTACATTTCAGGGCTGGGTACCAACCATATTTTACAACATTTGAACACCGCACTATGTCTCAGAAAATCAAAACACAGCTAAAATCTTATCATGACTTTCCCATTATTCATGGCAATCTATGATTTCCATATGGTTACTAGAATTTTATTCCATAAATCCATTAATAAGGAGATACAAAATGAAGAAAATAAAATATAAATAACCTACCACTAGCTTTCTCAATAATGTATATCAGGATAAATTATTTGCGAATCTTAGCACATGAAAGGGCTGGGTCTACAGAGTAGAATTCAAGTCTAGAGAATTTTAAGTATACTTGTGAAAATTAAGCACAGTCTTATTTCTTTCTGCATGTCCATTACTACGATGGAAGACAACATTAAGAAAAATATTAAATTAAGAAAATAATTCTATCAGCAATCACTTCAAAAGGATAAAATACCTCAGAACTAACCAAAGAGGTGGAAAACCCATACAATGAAAACTACAACACAGTATTAAAGAAGTTAGATAGTAACATAAGGAGAGAGAGACTTTCTACGCTCATGGATGGATAGTATAATATACTCAATTACTATCTTATTAAAACAATATATAAATTTAATGAAATCCTAATCAAAATACCAATAATGTTCCTTAAGGAAACTAAACAAAAAATTGAAATTTATATAGAACAATGATTGACCTCAAATAACAAAAGCAACACTTAGGGGAAAGCAGAGAAACTGAGGCATCACATTACTGAACTTTATACTGTAAAGTAACAGTACAAAAAACAATATGGTATGGAATAAAAATAGACACATAACCATGGATGAGAACTGAAAGCCCAGAAATAAATCCCCATATATACTTTTTTTTCAAGTTGTGGTAAAGCAACCAAGACTGTACATACAATGGAGAAAGATATTCTTTAATTAATGATGCCGGGAAAACTGGAAGGCAACATGCCAAAGAAAGAAGTTGGATCACTTTCTAACTCCATGCAAAAAAAAATCCAAATGGATTAAAGATCTAGCTATAAGACTTGCAGCAAAATACATATTAAAAAATTGGCAATATGTTGATGACATCAATGATGAAGTTGTCTTTGGAGTTTCAACCTTTTGTCAAAGGATATAAAACATAGATAACTGGGGGTACCTCAAATTAAGAAAACTCTTCTAAAGCCAAAGACATATTATACACATATTAAAAAGACATCCTATTGAATGGGAGAAAATATACCCACAAATTTAATATGACCTCCAGGCCAAAATTAACTTCTAGGATTTAAAGGCAGAAGAACTAAGATGAAGGCCTGGGATTCTTCTGTTTATGAAACATGGGCTCCCAATAGACACAGTTTCTGTTGAAATCTCAGCAAACTGCCTGAGAACTAAGTCAGAAAACCGTAGCACTGAGGGCCCAGCCGAGAGACTGGCACAGGGACTGACCTGTGATTCAGCTGTGCTGGCCTCCCCTCCACAGCATCAGCTGTTGAGGTCTAGAAAGGCTGTAGGTTTACTTATTTACTGTGTTCAAAGACATGAAATGGAACTCACCTGCAGAGGCACCACAGGACAAACCCAAGTCCACAGTAAGGGTCCAGGCAGATGGCCACTTCTCTAGAGGGGTAGAGCTCACACTGCAGTTTAATAGAACGGCAAAAGGCACTGGTGGCTGCGTGAGACATCTGCAGGATAACAGGTGAGTTAGAAGCACGAAGCAGGACATGAATCCTAAGACACTGAGACAACAGGGCACAGGTGGGAGTGTGACTCCTACCCCAGAAATGCTGTAAGTTACAGGAACATGAATTGCATGCGCCTGGCTCCTATCCTGAAGACACTGCAAGAAGGTGCACTGACTGCAAGGATTCTGACACCATCCTAAAGACACTGAAGATGACATGGACTCAATAAATATAAAGAGCTTCACATGTGCTGCTCAGCGGTGGCTTTAGAGAGAGGGTGATTGTAGTTAAGCTTTGATTTTGCTAGTTAGGTAGCTGATGTTCTCATCAGTCTTTCCATCTCAATGAGCAAATCACCCACTCATCTTCCTGATCCCCTAGGATATCATGACTCGCAATTGGAGTAACTCAGCTTGTATTTGCATGTCAGGTCAGCGTTATGCCCCCTCCCTTAGGTACTGTTGATGAGAAAATAAAAGGGTACAGCTGTCGTTCAAAATATTATAGAAGATCCTTCCCCACTCCCTCCCAAGAAACTTAAACTGTACCAGCAATTCCACTTCTGGATATGTACCCAGAAGAACTGTTCAACTGCTGGGTATAGACCCGTAACACCTATGTTCATAACAGCATTAATAACAATAGCTAAAATATGGAAGCAACAGTTAATCTATGTCCACGGATGACTGGATAAAAAAAATGTGACCTATCCATACTGTGGAATATTAACCTTAAAAAGTCAGACATTGGTGGGGCATGGTTAAATATTGAGGAAATTACGCTAAGAGAAGTCAGACACTAGAAGAGAAACAACTCCACTTCTGTAGGTACCTAGAGTAGGCAAAATCATACCCGAAAGCAGATGGTGATTGCCAGGGACTGGGGGAGTGAAGGGAGGCTATTGTTTAACGGTATCAGTTTCAGTTTATAAGATGGAAAGAATTATGGAGATAGACAACAGTGATGGCAACATATTTTGAGTTATAGAAAACCACTGAACTGTACACTTAACTGGTGAAGATGATATATTGTATGTTATTATGTTAAATTACAATTAAAAAAACTGGGTGGGGGAAGTAGGTGGAGTAGGAACTACAAAGCTAAATTGTGCAAACTCAACTGTGAGAACCTGAAGGCAGATAATGGGGAAGGTTTCCTAGGACTACCTGGAATTTAAGAGTCTGCACCAGAGTCCTATTCTGGGAGACATACAGCAATTCCATTTCTGATAGGAAAGGGATCACTGCAGCTGCTGTAGCAGCAATCTGGCAAGTTAGAACAGAATCCACCTTAAAAAAGCAAGAAACTCCATGGCAAAGTTTAACAATAGACAAGAGTACTAGGATTTGAGAATAAGCAAGAAAAAAAATCTATAGCTTTCTATTATGGGCCAATGAGGCTGTGTTTACACTGGAAAAAGAAATAAAAAAAGGTGGAATGTTTTGAAAAAAATCAGCCCAGTTAACCTCATAGCCTGGGTGAGACATATGGCAATTCCTCTCTCCACGATGCCCCGCCCCACTTTGCACAGAACATAAGCTGAAAACCCAGTTGACAATGCACATGGGCAGACTGCACGCCTCACCTTTACTCCAGCTAGCATCCCCGTTGTGGACACACTAAAGTCAAGATAAGCTAGTGTGTCTGGGTTGGAAGGTTTGTAGATCTGGGCAGGCCGCTTCTTTGGCAAATCATCTGGCAAACAAAACAAAGCTGTTAGCATATCTGACCAAAGGAAGAATAGACAAACACAACTGCCTGGAGAGCTGGAGAACTGACCTGTGTCCAGTATGGGGGGCCACGCCCTGATGTCTACGGCCGCAGCTGCCTCCCTGGACCGTAACAATTTACAGATCAGTTGTGTTGTCATCAAACAGGCAGAGCGACTCACCTGAAAGTCAGAGACCAAAGAATGCAGTGAAGGAAAGTAAACTGAAGAGGGAGGGGATATGAGACCCACTACTCAGAGGGCGCACCACAGTTAGAGGAGCAGAAAGACCACCAGGTGCAAGGTTGCCCCAAAGGAGCCAGCTTGGCCAGTGGAAACCCCCAGAGAGCCAAAAAGCAGACTGAGTTCATGGGGACTAAGATCCCTGGTCATTTCCATTGCCAAGCAGTGTCCAGCACTACGTTCACACTCGGAGAGGAACCTCAAACTAACTGCTCCAGTTATGTCCTGCCCTGTTAGAAGTGCTAGGTATATCCAGGCACTTCTCACAGGAGTAATGGCCACAAAATGCTCCAAATATAAAAAAGTATTTCTTCTTTTTCAATGATCATATCACATTTTATTTACCATTTATCAGTTGATCTGCTTATTCACTTTTGAACAGAAAACAGCCTTCTATCCCTAGGATAAATTTCACTTAGTGAGAATATGCTACCCTTTTATTTTACTTATTTTCTTTTGTGGTCTTCCTGAATTAATCTGTCCCTCGTGGCTCCTCCACCAAAAGGAAAAGCATATCCTAAGTCTCGTATACTTTCCAAGGCATAACTTTGAAAACAAAACAAAAACAAATAAAGATACTTTCAAAAAGGAATGGGACACGAGGAAAGAGCTTTTTTTTTTTTTT